AGAGGGAGGCTGGAAGAGAAAGACAGCGCGTTTAGAGCAGATACTGCAACAACTTGTCCTACTCTAACAGCTGATTTGTAGGCCAAACCAACTAATATTTAAAAAACCCATTCCACACCCAAAAAGCCTGGAGAAAAGCCAACAACATTGTGTTATTATGGATTTTGTCAATATGTATTACCTAGATAAATATGCACAATTTCAGAAGATATTTTTAAGATAAAACTCCTGCAGCTCAATTTGGAAAGAATTTATCACATATGCAATGACTGGAGTGGATTTAGAAAAACTAGGGCATTTGTTCAATTTTCTGGTTGATTCAACATGACATTTGGAACCTCTCAGAGTGCAGCATGAAGCGTAAGCATCCAAAATAGACATTTGTTTTGGATAAAATTTTGTTCTGGCTTTACACTCCTCATACGTGATTCTGTGGCGTTGGTGTAAATGGTCAAATAAATTAGTCATGTTGCCTTGTGTTGTACCAACAGTTGGAAGGCACAGTTTAAAAAAAAAAAGAAAAGAAAAGATATATCCTCCCCCACAGCAAAGACTTCTTTTGGATGATATGTCTTCTTTGCTCGTTTTAAAGTTACACTTAGCATGCACAACAGTGTCCGCCTTTCTAAACTGACCCGTTATTCAGTATGCAGGGAGAGAATTCATGTGAAACCAGAAACCAAAATGTAAGTAAATCAGGATAAATTATGGTCTGCAAGCTTAACTAACAAAGTTAGCTTTTTCATGACTAATACAAATCAAAGTGAATGGAAAATATGTGAAAGAGGCTGGCAAATCTGGAAACAATTGGGCCATAAAGAAAACAAACTGCAGTATTTTGCTAGGGAAGGTCAGATTGACCAGGGCTGATCTTTCTTCAGTGACACTGATAAAAAATGTCTTGATTGGTGGTCTTTAAACTCACCAGTGAGACAGCTTTTTTTAATAAAAAAAAAAAACACAAACAACATCACAGCTGGATCTCCACCACGCTGATTTTTAAAGGCAGTCAGGGCTTTATGTGTGGCTCCACACAAACTTAAGACGGTGCTCCCGATTGCCTCAGATGAAGGCAGAATCCTAGTCGGTGGCCTGAGATTTGCTTTGGACGTATCAAGAGTTTGAGGTTTTTCCATTTTTCTCTCTGAATTAAAATCAGATTTCAGGCAACTGTTTCTTGCTACATGACTTTTGCATTCAATATTGCGAGTGTAAAATAAATGAAACCCTGATGAGTCTGCAGATGTAACATCTGGTCTTGGCCTTACTGTCTAGTCCAGATGTTACATTAGTAGAAAAAAAAACAGCAACTAATGTTACAATGTGTCTAAATGAGATGTAAAAATGCCTGTTAGCTATGTAATTTGATCCTCTGAGACAGTCTTTCAATGAGCCATGCAGGCATGAAAGACCTAAAGTCACTGAAGATGGTAAGGATGCAAGTGACAAGTTTGGAAGGGGAAAACAAAAAGCAAACACTAGGAGAACATCAATATATTTGGTTTGTGCACGATATGAAAGATCCATTTTAAAGATCAAAGCATGCTTTAAAGAATACTGTATTTTGGATGAAGTACAAATTCACAACTACTTAATCCAGTTAAATGTGTATCTTACCAAATCAATGTCCATGGTGTCAAAGTCCATGCCTTCATTGAGGTCATCCATACGACCCTCAGACGACATCATCACATCCTCCACGATCGGCTCTTCGTCTTCCTCCATAAGCCCAGTGCCGCGACGACTACAAAAACAAACCATTATATAATTAAGGAAACACCCTTTTGATGAGATTTTCACAGGCACTTCTACATGCAGGGGTGCGTGTCTTACATAGCATGCTGCAGATTGGTCCTGAGCTTGGCATAGTTCATTGCTCTTTCCTGCTGCTGGCGTGCCTCTTCTTGCTGTCTCTGAGCCAGCATCCACGTCACCTGGGAACTAAATGCACAAGAGTATTAATTAGCTATGTCTTTAATTCACGTGTTTCACTGGAGGTACCACAAGGATGTCAGACACAACTATATAGATGGCCCACTGGCCTGGCACCTATTAGAAGTCAGTTTGGATAAATAAACTAGTCAGTCACTGTCCCAGTAGGGGCTAACACTTGGCAGGTCTTAAGTACAAGCATTTTGCTACCATTTGCCCTAAAATTAATAGCATGTGAATGGGAAATTACATTGAAGCATGTCCTAATGTGTTCTGGCTCATATTCCTGTACTCTGATCCCATTCTCAGAGAATAAGTGATCCACTGAACTGAATGATGGGCCTGGATTTGGGCCAAAATATATTTATAAAATCTTGCGGTAGCAGGCATTAGCATGCAAGGAAATAACAGATAATTAAAAGTTTTTGAAATGCTGAAGCAACACAGCGAATGAGGAGGAGAAAATATCATGGACTGTGAAATTTAAGTGTGTAAAAATATGCCATGGCACAAACTTCAATGAAAAGTTTGATGGTGTGCACCATAGGGCTGAAATATCCATCTGAATTATGCCTGCCTAAGGGAACATGTTTATATATACACACATACAGTACTGTGACAGAGTTTTAGGCAGCTGTGGAAAAGTAAGAATGTTTTCAAAAATAGACTTGTGAATAGATTGTATTTATCAATTAAGAATATGTCAAGTGAGTGAACAGAAGAAATATCTAAATCAAATCAGTATTTGGTGTGACCACTCTGCCTTCAAAACAGAATCACTTCTTCTATGTACGCTTGCACAAAGTTTTTGTAGGAACTCAGCAGGTGGTATGGTGGCATAAACATCTTGAGAACTACCCACAGTCCTTCTGCGGAGCCTGAGGTCAAGGGACCAGGGTCCCACTGTTTTCTAGTGATGGCACTGCTGGACATCTTAGGAAAGGAAAGTAAGCAAGATGTTCATCTGCTGCTGGAAGTTTCCTTGGCTGACTACTATGGTCCTCAACGTTGCCACTTTCTTTGGGCTTCTTCAAAAAGAGCTTTGACACTACATCTGGAAACCCCTGTCTGCTAATGCAATATAATGACCTTGTGTCTTGTTGCTGTGCTCAGTTTTGCCACGGTGTATGACTTTTGACAGTAAACTGTTAATCAGCAGCGTCGCCTTTTTAGCTGAGATTGGCTAAAAATATAATCTATTAACTTGTCTATTTTTCAAAGCATTCTTACTATACAGCATTTTTTCCCCACAGCTGCCTATAACTCTTAACTATATAAAAATAAAAAGCTAGAGTGAACACTAATAAATTCACACTGATCTGTTATAATCCGAAGCAACGTTTGAAGAAGTTTTGTTTTTTTAATGTTTTCTAATGAATCTCTGTGCAAAAAACAAAACAGGTTTTGCATGTTATGCCTAAGGAGGACTTAAATCTTCTACAGTGACATTTTCATTTAAACGACTACATCGTTATATCTTGGAATGCAACAGTAAGGCATGCATACTTGTAATCCATGGGTGTCTGGTGGTGCTGAGGCGTCTGTTGATGGTGCTGTGGGTGTTGGTGGGGCTGCTGCTGGTCGTGAGGGAGGGCGTAGACCCCCATGAAGCTGTCATCACGGCCCCTCTTAGGGTCTCGCATGGCAGTGGAGGTGAGGTGGGGGGACGGCAACATGACTGGGGTTTGCATGCTCTGCTGCCACACCTCGCTGCTGCTGCTCTCCTCTGAAAGGGAAGGGCCAACATGTTAGACAAACTCAGGACACAAGTGCACATGCTTGTTTTTATATTATACTTGTTTTAATGGACCAACATTTCACCCAAGGTAGCAAATTTCCTCCCAAGTTCCTTAACTATGAACAAAGCTGAGTTTCCAAACTGTGAGCAAATTTAAGATAGCAGTGTTTCCCACACATTGATTTATTTGTGGCGGTCTGCCACATAATCAACGCTGACCGCCACATATTGATATCCGTTTTTTTTTACTATTTAAAATGGGTATTTGATTAAATAGAATATAACAAATTTTAAAGCTAAGAGGATACAGAATACCGTACAGGGTGGAAATGATTTTGGCAGTACTACAAATGTCAGCCTTAGGTACGCCAACTCCTGAATTACCCCACTGAGCACTTTTCTACCTTGTAAATGGAATTCTATAGAAATTGTATCATTTTGAATTCTAAAGGACTTCCTTGGTCATGAGCAGGGCCCCGTTTCAGAATGTGAGACATTAAGGCAGCTGTCAGGTTGCACTGAAACATTTCAACTCAGAGCTCAGGGTTAGGCTCAGAGTTTGTTAAACCTGCCATACACTGTGTCATACACATAAAAATCAGTGATTTGAGACACCCTTTGTGATTGGTAAGGAGCAGATTGACTCTGGACTCTCTCCTACCATCTGCTGTTTAATCTCCTCACCAATCATCTCGGGAGCCATGATGGTGGGAACAAATTTGGGTTAATCTGGGCTCCAACTCTGCTTCTGTACAATCATTACTGGGCTGGACTAAAATGCATGTGGTTCTCATGGAGACCTAATCTCAGTGTGCTTGTGTGTTTGTTGGTGATGAGGAGTTTGAACTGATAGATGTTCATAGTCCACAACAGAAACTGCAGATTTTTAATCTTAACAACAACAAAAAAAACAAACAAACAAACAAACACCTATGCCCCTGCCTGCAATAACTGAACTGCACATAACTGAAGTTGACAGTGCCAACTTTCTCTGAAGAAGGAAAAATAAATAAATTTAAAAAAAAAAAAAAAGCTAGGAAGCTTTTAACCCCATAATTAATGATTCTGTTGACTCCTGAGTGTGCGATACCTTCTGGCAGCTTCCTCTTGGGTGCTGAAGTTCCAGCTGTAGCAGCAGGAGGTTTGATCTTCTTGGAGCGGATGGAGGAGCCTCTGCTGGAGTAGCCACTCATCACCGACATGGTATCATCATCACCACCAGCCTGCAGAGAATTCCTGTAGGAGATGAGGGGGAGCCAGCAGTCCTCTCGCTGAAGTGCCATTTGGAACGTCATGAAGCGCTCCAGGTACATGTGGCTGGAGAGAAGCAGGTCACAGACATAAGTAATTCCATCCATGCATTCAGAGGACAAACTTCACACACAACCATGTGCACATCCCAACTGGAGGGTTAAAAAAAAAAGTAAACTAAAAAAAATGTCTCACATCAACCACTCATGCATCAGAAACACCAGTTGCACCAGTTGTCACAAACACCTGTTACACTGAGACACAGAAGCCTCCTATCCATCAGCTTAGTAGAAAACACTTACACAGTCCTCTTGTCTTGTCTCATAAGCTTGGAGGAGAACTCGCTGAGGATGTCCAAGAAAGCCAGGTTTAGGGGAGGGCCTCCTTCTCCCTGGGGACTGGGATCCTTAAATGCAAACTCGATACCATCCCTGAGAGATGCACAAAGGAAGAACACCCTATTGGATCAACTGCTTTTAGTTTTATGCATGTTCACAAACTGTTTAGTGAAACTCACGATAATCTAATGAAAACTTCCTTTGATAATAAGAGATGCATTTATTTATTCCAACCAGGGACATCGGTCATGTGGTACATCTTTAACTCTTTTTAATCAAACTCACTCTGTTCCCTTGACTGCACCCAGTAGTCATGTCACATTATGCTTCAATGTAACACTGTTCTACATCACTTTAGTTTTAAACACTAGATGGAAACTAAGCAGAACTTTTAGCCTGCCTTTCATTACTTAACCACCAGTTGCACACCCAGCATATCGCATTACATAGAGACCCCTATGTTGCACAAGTGTAGGGGAAATCCAAGCTAACACAGCAAATGTGCATACATGGGCTTTCCTGGAAGCTGACAGACTATAATACAATAACCCACATGAAACAAAGCCAATGTGAAGGGATTGTGGTATACACAAATGTGGAGGATTTTCTGCTTTTATACTTTAATTAAAAAGAAACAACGTGTCATTTTATAAAATGGTCAAGATAGTTTGCCCTTGCACCAGTTTACACAAGTGGTGGGGAATACATGACGATCCAGCAAATTCCTCGTTACACATTTTGCTACATAAGAGCACCATAAAGAACAACCTGTGCAGCTCTTTGGATTCATGTGTGGGTTTCTTACATAGAGTATATGTAGCAGACTATTTTTGTTTTTATAGCACTGTTCCTGCTCTGTGTGTGAAGAGACTCCTGTTTTTTCATGTGAATACTTACAATGCAAAATCCAGAGGGAAAAAAAAACAACATGGGAAGAGGAAACACAGCTTTTAAGGAGTCATTTGTCTAACATGACAGTTTCCAGACGCAAGGCCAAAAACAGAGCAATGCAATGTAACAAGAGCAGTATGAAGGCTTACTTGTGCAGCATAGCGATGGCATCTCGGGTTTTGACTTGATCGAGACCAAAGGTTAGAGAAAAACGACGGGCCAACTCTTTGATTCCACAGAATGCAGAGGACGAGCGATCAAACCCATGACCCAGTTCAGACAGCATTTCATTGAACAACTAGCAGGAAGAGATATGTGAAACGTTATCAACACACTCTTAAAAATGGGACAAATAGGTCAGTTTTACTTAGTGACAGAATGAGTGTGCAAGAGTGTGTACACTGACCTGCTGCAGACTGAGGATGAGCGTCTTGGCACATTGGATCTTGTCGATTTGCCGAGTCTTACTCATAGTCTCCTTGATGATGTCACCATAATCATTATAATACTGAAAGAAGAAAAAGAACATTACCGGACCACGAAAAATAGTCGTCTCTACACACAAGCTGATTTACATGTATAAATGGTAAAAAGGTCGATTAAATTTAAATGATAAAAGTTACCCTCATGTACTGTTTGAAGATGTCAGCACCAGTCTTCATTTCTACCACACAGTAGATGATCAGTTTACAGTAGGCAGCCAGGAGGTTTCTCCTCTTGTGCAGAGCTTCAATCTTTACCGCCTCGTCGTCCTGTTGCCCATCTGAAATGAAACAAAAGAGCAGTTCTAGAAGCTGCACACTGGCCGATTTGAAAATCATTTTAATTGCTCTCCTTGCCTATTGGAGCAGAGCTGGAAAGTTAATAGAACTGCACGTTTGCATTTGTACCTGTGCTATTTGAGTCATCGTCCTGGTCTATGAAGACATGGTTCAGGATGAAGGAGAGCAGTTCAGACTGCAGCGAGTCCTCTGGGGAATAGACCAGAGGCTCCAGGTGTTCCCTGCCTCCGGACACCATCTGGTGGCTGAAGATGAGCAGGAGATCACACAGGATGGTGAATGCCTGTAAGAGGAAAGACAGAGAGAGAGAGAGAGAGGGAAAGAAGAGGACAAAAAGTTAAAAAGTGTGTGCATAAGTGCAATACAAAATGTTAAACACCTTATGGATATGTGACATTGTTACATCAGCTGTGAGGCCCAGATGGCTTTGGCAATAATAAGACCTATTCATCACATATGAAGGCGCAAAATAGAGGGGTAAGCAGCAAAGTTACTTGTTTATGTAATACCACCCTTTCTACAAGCAATTTGTGAGCCAACTACAGCTGCAACGAATGGCAGCCAAACCACCTCTAAAGAGTAAGATTTTTATCACTTTGCCTAATTGTTGATGATCCTCATTTTATACTTTGTCCATGTCTTGCTTCGCTTTTAAGCAAATTTTACTTCACAACTTGTTCTCGTGTCTGTCACCTGTTCTTTGACGGCTGTGTTGACGTTGGTGAGGTAGCGCTGACACATCATACAGAATGCCCGCATTTGCTTCCTCAGGGTCACCAGGTCATCCTGATAAAAAAATAAAAAAATAAAGAATTCAGACAATTCTTTTAATATCACACATAATAGGGCTTAACAATTTTTCTGCCAGATATTGCAATTATGATTCAATTTGCAATTTTTTTATTGAAGTTTTGCTAAAGTTCAATATTCACTGCCAGTCTATTTTTGACTGAAGCCATGTCAAGCAGCACAGAGCAGATGAACCAGCCAGGATGTCGGACACAGAACGGCAGAGAGAATCTGGTCAATTTTCACCCTTTACAGATTCCCGATCGTACATCAACAATAAATACATTTAAAACAGACAAAAAAAGAAACAATTTAACTACGTAGCTACTTAATCATAGTAGAAGCACAAAAATCAAGGACAACTGAACAATTAAGCAAAATCTGAACAAGTCCGCAAAATCAGAATGGCAAAACTCTTATTCTGAAATGCTCCATGTGGCTATGTAACGGACTCACAGAGAGCAGTTATCTGTAGTTGAAGCACACAAAATGACAAATTAACAACATGTCAACAATAATGTAGGGCAGCTAAGCGCTCCGCTGCTGAAACACAGTGTGAGCTGAAGCCAGACAAAACCGCGGCATAGCCTCAGCCTGTGTTGGTTCGGCTGACGCCATTAACACATCTTCCTCTAGTTTTGTTTGTTGTTGTAAAATGTGCACACCCTGTGCTCTGATTGATGAGTAGGACCGTAACAGTAGGCACATGGCGCTTGTGATTGGCGAGCAAATCTGTCACACAAGGATGACAACAGGATGAATCTGTAACTGCATGACTGTTTAAAAAGGGTCAGATGCGCTGTATAGTTAACCTACATTTTAATCGCCATATTCACGATTAGCCAATCGCGTTCTTTCAAATCGCAATTTCGATTTGCATACTATTCATCGTTCAGTCCTCGCACATACCTATCCAATTCTCTTCAATACAATAAGGATGTCCTCACCTTCCTGGAGCTGCCCTCCGATGACTTGGCTAGGTGCCACAGGATCACGTAGTGGGTACACTGCAGAGAGTGGATGACTATCTGCTCACAAGGAAAAACAATCCCAGAGGGATTGATATTTATTAGTATTCACAAATATTGACAATTTGTTGAGTCATAACCTCACTTGGTGTGCATGTATATTTAATAACCTGCTCAGGCATGTCTCCATTCTCTATGCCTGTGTTGAGTAGCTTGAAGTTGCTGGTAAAGAGGTCCCACCCCGACAAGTCATGTGCACTGAAACAGATTTGAGATGGTCAGTTTCAGACAGGTAAAATTGTTCTTCTAACTGTAGGAGACTTAAAAGTGGGACAGATATGACGGAGGTGCATAAAAGAATAGGTACTCCAGACAGAATAAATGTCATACTTGTGAAATGCTGTGATCCTTTTTAGAGTTGACAAAACCTGATAAGCATCATCTTCATCAGCCTCTTCACCCTGGCAAGAGACATTTTGCAACTGGGTTACATCTCATGGATCAAGATGTTTAGTCAACTGGTAAAGACTGAACACTATTAGTGTAGGGTTGGGTACCGTTCACTTTAAACGTCTCAAATTCAACATTTTTACATTATTTAATAAATTGTATCGTATGCAACAAACCACTCTAGCAATGAAAATAATAAAAGGGCAGCCCTGCTACTTTCTTTTTTTAAAAAACACCAACCTTGCCCCTTACTCATATGTCATTTTACAGCATTTAGTCAGCACTTTCCTCCCGGCTATTCTGTCTCAGCTTTGCCTTTTTTATTTTTCTCTCATTCTCCTGTGCATTTTTTGTTCACACTGGTCGCCCACACACTCCTGACTTAATATTGTGTTGATGTGTATGCGTAGTAGTACCAACGTAATTCGGTACTCAACCCCAATGATAAGGTGCTCTCAAACTGTTTCACATACAGTATATGATCCCTGGTAAGGTAGGTTCTATTTATTCAGAAAACAACTTTAGAACAGTTATCACAGTTTGAGGCTGTAAGTGTTATTTGCAGATGAATCAAAGTTTGAATATACAGTGACGTGTGCACCCCATCACTCCTACCTCTTGTAGAAAATCCTCCAGTAGCCTGTTGAACTTGTCCACCAGCTCATCCAGCAGCTGGGAGCGGGCAATGTCCACCCTGTTAAAGATTGTGAACTCCTCATTGCAGAGGGCATGGTAAGTCTTGGAGCAAGCCTCCAAAACTTCAGTGTCTGTGTGCTTCTCCACAATTTCCCTGATCTGACGCAGCAGGGATTCCAGGTGCTTAATGAGAAAGAGTGACATCATGTTGTGATAACTGTCAATGTGGAACATGAACCAATTAATAACTGTTTTATATTAACTGATCCAATTACTCCTCATTTGACTGGTGTTGTATGACAAGTGTTTTACCTTCTCCAGGCGTCCTGTGGTATAAATTTCCAGGTCAAAGAACTGAGGCAGCTGCAACAAGTTCGTCACCTTCTCTGCATCCACAGCATACTGTAAAACAAACAAAATTATATTTTCTGATTGATGAATACACACCAGAAGCAAACAGTCCTTCAGATGATTACTTGTTAAGAAGATAATGAATGTAACAAACCTTGGCCAGTAGAGGGGGCAATGCCACAGCAAACAGCTCTGTCATTCTGGTTCTGTCATCCAGCTGTGTCTTCTTCTCTTTAGCCGTCATCACCTGATCAAAGATGCAACAGGTTAGATGCTTGTCCTCACATCTAGTTTGCATTCATACATGCAAAAGGCATAATCATTTCAAACGTTTTTAAAGTTCTCTCTTTGACCAGGCTATTTCTGCATTGTTTCAACCTCAGCTATGTTTTTAGTTATTGCCATGTGCAAATTTTGTGGAGATTTACATCCAGTTCACAAAGTGCACGTTCCCAGTGCCAGGCTTTTATTGTGTTTTATGGATAGATTTACTAAATTAAACTGAGAAGTGGGTCTTATAACGTTATTCTTTTAGATCTGATTCTTTAAGAAGGCCCCAGTAGTGCAGCTTTCAAATATACATTTCAGGGCCAAGAAAGTGTCTCCTCAGCACTGTACCATCTACATCATAAAGTTTATTAGACTGAGACGAATCCCCATTAATGTTATCGTTTAGTTTTAATGTCAGATTTTGTAAATACAATAGCCCAAATGGAAAATAGCTACACATCAACCTTTGACTGGCAAGCAGAATATCTAAAAGTGTTTTGCAGGCTCCGTTATCTCAAACCTGACCTCACAAACTTCCAAAATGTGTCAACACAGAAACAAAATATTGCAGCACAGTCACAGAAATCAGTATGCAAGATAGTCACTCATATATTACAAACTCATACACTC